AGGAAATGTTGTCTAATCTTAATGGTTTGCGTGAAGAGTTTCTTGCATACAGTTCTTCGTGTAGGGGCGAAGCCCCACCCCCCGCGTAAGAACGTCTGAGCCCCCCCCCTCCCCAACTCAAAAGAAATTTCTTCATCGATACTCTATAATAAAATTACCGCCTAATTAATGTGTCTAATCTAAAAAGTGGTTTTCTCGCAATTTCTTTAATGCAATTCTTCGCGTAGTGGCTAAGCGCGACACCAGTGTTTCTTTCAGACTTTTTCCTCCCCGGAGAGCGGTGGGGGTACTTGAAATTTTCGGGGGCGGGGGTAAAATTTTCGGGGAGGGGGCGGACACTGGAAAAAGTATATAGATCTAATTATATTTCGTTGAATGGGACGGTAGACATGTTTTTTTGGGGGGTGGGGGTGGGGTGGGGGTGGGGGGGTGGGTGGGGGTGGGGGTGGTGTGTGGGGTGTGGGTGGGTGTGGGGTGGGGGGGTGGGGGTGGGGGGGGGGTGTGTGGGGGGGGTGGGTTGGTTTTAGTTTAGAGAAAAGAGACAGCACTATCAACCTAGCGCCCGGTGTATCCTTCCTCAACGGGCCATTTTTCTCGTTTTCATTTAGATTCCTAGAAAAAGTGGATACATGTTAATAATAATAGGGTTAAAAAAATGTAATTAAACTGTTTTATAATTTTCCAAGGGAGGTAATTTAAAAATAAATTCAACTCACGCTAATAAAAACTGTGAACGAAAAATCTGCAGACCTTCTAGAAGGAATTATTGTTGCAATAATATAATTAGCAGAATGTGAATGCAAATTATGCGGATATATAAGAGGACATTATTGTTAGAACATTATAATTAGCATAGATTGATAAAAGGCAATCTTTTATTTATTTTATTTCGGTTTGCGGACAGGCTGGGGTTTTTATAGTCGTTCACTGAATGAGGCACATCCGCCGGTGCTCGGGCAGAGTGCGATTTGGCGCCACGGGCTAGACTGTGAGCAAGATGAGTTTATTTTTGCATTTAAATTGTGCTTATGTTACGAGTGCTGTGTTTATGATTTCATTTTTTTGCGCTTGTTTTTTCTTTTGTGTTAATGTGTTGCGTTTGTATTTTTGTTTGTATTTTCATTGTGTTTGTTGACATTGGGATTGTATTTTCTTTTGTGTTTGTGTTTTCTTTTGTGTTTGTTTTGTGTTTATGTTTTCTTTGCGTTTGTGTTTTATTTTGGATTTGTGTTTTCTTTTAGGTTTTTTTTTCTTTTGGGTTTGTGTTTTCTTTTATGTTTGTGTTTTTGTTGTTGGTACATTAAAAAAGATTTACCGTGGCGGAGCACGAGTATGCAGCTACTGCTAATATAATCACAATACCTTCAATAGGCCTATCTGCATTACTCTAATTATTCTATGCCCATGTCAGTATGTTGCATGACCACCCGCAGCCCGGGGTTTAAATAGACTATATACCGGACTTGAATTGAGCAACTCTCTTTTAAGTGGCCCTTTCCGTCGAGTGTTGTTATCTTTATAATTTATTGTGCTGCTTATTTTTAGAATACCTATAGGTAAAAGTAGTGCAAAGTGGGATATCATATAGACCCCTGACTAAAACATTAGTATGTTCTTTTATGTATCTCATAGTTTTCCAATCATTTAAATTTGCAAATGTTTCAGAGTTTGACTTAGGCATTTGCACTCTCGATAGAAGCGTTAGACCTCTATGACACAATACTTTCTCTAAAATCTTTATACAAAAAAAAACTATCAGTAAAACAATTATTACTAGTTGTTGAAGCCACTGATGATGTGGACTTTACAAAACTCAATTAGAACAAGATAGAAAAAAGATAAACATAATGAGACATGGCATCAATATACGTGTAATATGTTTAAGTTAAGGCGTGACAATGAAATAATAGAAGAAAGAAGGAATAGACTTGAAAATGCAAGGGCCGATAAAAACGTGATGTAGAAAACATCTAAAAAAAAACAGCATCCGCTGCTAGAGAATATAAAACAAACTTTTGATTTAGAAACGTCACAGGAAACAGAAAATAGGCTGAAATATAATAATAATAGAACAAAAATAAACTTGAGGAAGGAAATGTCAAACGAGAAAAACAGTTGCAGGAGTCAATGCGTGATGAAGGCGTTATAAAGGAAATGTGTGAATGACAGCGATCGACGGCAACGAACATAAGTGTAAAAAATAACCACTATTTTTAAGGATAGAAAAAGACGGGTTGATTTTTTTGAATTACACCTGAAGGTTACAAACAAACACAAACCAGTGACAAACATAGACGAAATAAATCGGTTTGCAGATATGGTCAATGTATAAAGTGGAGTAAAAAAATCTGATGTAATGTGTTGTGAAGGAGATAAAGTTTGTATAACATCCAATTTGTAGCCTACCGACAGTACCTCAAAAGACGCACAATATATTGCATGCTTATTTCATCCAATGTTAAATGCGAGTATTGCTATCATTCTTGTTGGAGTTTAGTCACGTTTCCGATTTCTTTAGACCCGGGGAGAAAAATAAAGATTTGCTAACAGAAGGGTATTAACGACTGCTTCATTTAGAATTTAAATATAAACCCAAGCATTAATCCCATCATCTCTAATATGGGTCGTCAAAGCAACATTATGTGATGCAAGTTATAGTTAATGCAAGGACCATTTCCAAATTTGAACTACGTGTGAAAAATTAGTAACGAGATCTTTTCGATTATTATTATCAAAAGGCAACAGAAACTCACGCAGACAGGTAATCAAAAATGTCGAGGCAGGATGTGGTCGAGATAATGTTTTTGTACGGTTCTGTTGGTAAAGGAAAGAATTATTTAATAAACGTATTGCTGGTCAAAGATCATAAGCATAAACAGTAGCTTTTGGTGTTGCCTCTTCCGACATTTCCGTTAAGCTAATACAAAGATATAAAACTACACATGCTGCATTTGAACATCCGCTTGATGGGGGTATAACGGTGATGTTTATTGCGATTTTTAGATAAGCGTTAAAATTATTAATGATGCATATAATTGCATGTAAAGTTAATTATTATTTTAAATGTCATGCCATCAAAAACTGAAATGATTGAACTATCCGGTAATATCACGTGCGACAAATCAACTTAACACTTAAACACTACATTATTATTATTATGAATGGTAATCCTATAGTGCAAGGATACAAGAGTAATGTGTGTTGTAGAAGGATTTTGCATTAATTGACTTTTTTTTTTAATTTCATGACGTGGTATTTAAGTATAGGAAGTTTGAAAGCAGTTTTGTTGTTTCTTGATGAATAAGGTTTGAGGAGTGTGTGTCTTTTGTTAATAGGGTTACGAATGTTGTCAAGTCTTCGGGTACTTTGCGCAAGTTTAATTCACTCATCGCTGAAGTCATTATGTCTAGTATATATTTATCGTTTAGGTAGACACAGGTACAGAATATAGTCCGAGCAAAGTTAGAGCTGTTTTAACCAAGCGCGATACAAACCTACCATACCACGCGGCACCAAATCGCCCTGCCTTCCATGCATTAAGTTAGTAAAAACTTCAGCCAATCAGTTCTAGAAAAACTGAGTTTTCTTGGCTGACACCTATCCCAGCTTGTACACCAAAGACGCGGGCAGGTGTGAACTTTGACCCTAACCAGTATGAGTGTTATCTAAGCTGCTATGTGTGTGGAGTGTGTTTTCGATTACAAAGACAAGTGTCCCCATTGTTGTAGTTTTATTTTTTTTTTTGGTCACATGTGAATGAATTCATCCAGCTCTAATGGGTGAATTCAGTTACATTATAATTTTGGAGAATTTTGTGACATTAAATCTAGTGTCTTTAACGGACTCAATTGTTTGAAATTTATAATAAAATAGTTTAAAGATTTGCACTTAAAATTTCAGCTGAAAACCCCAAAATATGGTTGAAGATTAGGAATCCATTGTTTATTGAGCTTAAAATATAATATTTTACAAGCGGTGGAAAACCTACAAATGAGTTAATTTTTCAAGATGGCCGCCTTATTTAGAGTTACCAAGAATTGTCCAACAATTGTTTTAATGGAAACACATGTTTTCTCTCTAGTTTTAAAAAAAGCTTTTTTTTTACCGGAGCATGCCTCCTTAAAACACTATCAGAAGCTTGTAAAGAACGACTATCCTCCCCTTCCACCCCTCCCCCGTGAAAACAACCGTCTGTGACAACAGTTTACAGACGACAATGAAGCAGAATTTGTTACCTCCCCTTAGTTTGAAATCGTTTAAAATTTTATATATATATATATATATATATATATATATATATATATATATATATATATATATATATATATATATATATATATTTATATATATATATTTATATATATATATATATATATATTCTAGGTGTAATGAATCGAATACATTTTTTTTCTGAATCTGCCTCCTGTATTTTTTCTACGAATATGCATCATACACCCAAGATTGATAATTTTTTGTTTGCTTTTCTGCACGGCCGGACAAAGAAGTTAAGCGATGAATTTTCTAGGAATCTAAGTAATGAGTTATAATAATTCTTCAAAGGGTCTAAGTCATTACATTTTTTTAATCCAATGACGTCATTCTTTTGTGTGCTTTTCTCCGCTGTGGAATTTACTTCTCGCGTTTCGTATGATGTTACGTTTTCTTGTAAGAAACACAAACACAAATAAGGGAACCAGTTGTTCATATTGATTAATGAGAAATCAAACAGATTATTGATGTTATTTTTTTTAGTTGTGTTAGCATTTAAATTTGTTCATAATCATTTCATTTTAAAAAAAAATAAGACGGCATAATGTGTGATTTCATTATCAACTGGGGTACCCGTTTCCGCGCGTTGGCGCTGAGATATGTGAAAGTCTGATGAAATATATAAGAAGGTTTCATCAATGCGTTACCAATCCTATGTTCTACGACGCGTGACCTTGTTTTTTTTAAAGTGATTTATTTAAATGTAAACAATGCCTGCACTTGGATCATAATTATAGGGACACGGGTTTAACTACAGTACCGCATGAAAACCTTGCGTTAATCACTCACCAAAATAATGAGGTAGAACACATTTCGGTGACCGCCCATGTAGCACGGACGTAGAGGGACGCTCCCTGGAGCCCACGAATACACTAATGCAGTGGTGCCGCGTATGGCCCTTGGCTACTTAAAACTAACAAAGGCGCCATAGTACTCACAGAATAACACTGAACTCCAATTGCATCCTGAAACAATGATTTATATTGCGTCAATCGCTGAAGTTATAAAAGTCAACGGGATTTTTCTGTAACACGCAGATACAAGAATATTTAACGTGTTATAAACATCAGTGTGAGTGATGCAATTTGTTATCGTTACTAATGGTGTATTATTAGAAGCTCGTTCTCAATTTTTGACTGGATCGTTTAAAAATAGGTGCTAATTGCATCATTTGGAAAGTGACGAAACTGTACAGAAGGATTATCATTATTTTGGAATTATTTGGACTTTTTACGGAAAAAAGAAAACTACCGAGTGTTAATAATCTAACCTTGGTTAATTTTCCTGATATTTAAAAATAAATGTATTACATTGACCTCAGCAGCACACCTAAGCCTTTGAGGTTCGAAACTGACATTTTTTTTGCAGCCAGACCGCACATTGTCTGTCTGTCCGTCCGTCTGTCCGTCTGTCCGTCCGTCTGTCTGTCCGTCCGACCGTCCGTCTGTCTGTCTGTCTGTCTGTCTGTCTGTCTGTCTGTCTGTCTGTCTGTCTGTCTGTCAGCCTGTCTCACTGTCTGTCTGTCTGTCTGTCTGTCTGTCTCTCTGTCTGTCTGTCTGTCTGTCTGTCTGTCTGTCTGTCTGTCTGTCTGTCTGTCTGTCTGTCTGTCTGTCTGTCTGTCTGTCTGTCTGTCTGTCTGTCTGTCTGTCTGTCTGTCTGTCTGTCTGTCTGTCTGTCTGTCTGTCTGTCTGTCTGTCTGTCTGTCTGTCTGTCTGTCTGTCTGTCTGTCTGTCTGTCTGTCTGTCTGTCTGTCTGTCTGTCTGTCTGTCTGTCTGTCTGTCTGTCTGTCTGTCTGTCTGTCTGTCTGTCTGTCTGTCTGTCTGTCTGTCTGTCTGTCTGTCTGTCTGTCTGTCTGTCTGTCTGTCTGTCTGTCTGTCTGTCTGTCTGTCTGTCTGTCTGTCTGTCTGTCTGTCTGTCTGTCTGTCTGTCTGTCTGTCTGTCTGTCTGTCTGTCTGTCTGTCTGTCTGTCTGTCTGTCTGTCTGTCTGTCTGTCTGTCTGTCTGTCTGTCTGTCTGTCTGTCTGTCTGTCTGTCTGTCTGTCTGTCTGTCTGTCTGTCTGTCTGTCTGTCTGTCTGTCTGTCTGTCTGTCTGTCTGTCTGTCTGTCTGTCTGTCTGTCTGTTTGTCTGTCTGTTTGCCTTTCTGTCTGTCTGTCTGTCTGTCTGTCAAATTTCGAGCAATTTTAACAGACTTATTTCTCTAAAATTCGACAATGAATTTGACTTTAAGGATGATATTTTTATTTTTTATGAATTAATTAAAATGATCCTGAAATTAGTATTTCGCACTTTTTTACGCGCCTTATCATGTGCAATAAGCCATGAAAAAAAAATGCATAAAACGCTGTAATTACAAGCTTTTATGAAATAATGCGTTAAAAGGAGCACAGATGTTATAGCGATGATTGCATTAGACTAGACCAGTAGAGGTTACTGAGGACAAACTTGACAGTAGACACTTTGGTTTGAGAGTTTATCCGCGCATTTAATAAAATATTTGTGGCGTGAGTGTGACGTGAGCATGACGCGACAATGTTACCGATGACGTAGGACGCAGGAATGAAGACAGTTGGAAGTTAGCTATTGTATGAAAAGGATATTGTTTAAACGAAAGACACATGGAAAATATACAAAAAATACTTTCTTCATTCGAAACTGCTCATGTTTAGAAAAACCATGCACTTTTATTGATTTATTTCCACCTGACGACGTAAATCTGCTGCATTGAGTATATCCTGAAGCCTAGGAGGGAAGCTAATGTAACACATACCATTTGTAATTAGTCATGGGGGATAATTTACAACTTGCTTTGTTTATTATCTTCGGTGAACAATACGTCCCCTTGTTTCCCATGTCATGTGATCTCCTGGTAGTTGCGACTGAGTCTACTAGAAAAACTCCAGGCTGCGGGAAACCAAGACATTTGCTGACATGGACATTGAATAGCAAGTTGTATATAGAAATAATGAAGGGCTATAAATCTTTCTTTGTAATTGAAAAATTATACTGGAAATAGTCATTCTATAAATACGCAGATCCAGAAACAAGTAGCGTCATGGTTGTTGTCTCTCAGGGTTATCCGAAAACACACTACGCCTCAGTGGAATAACCTACACCTTATCCTCACTGTAAAAGTGTTACACTTAGGAGCACAATGTAGGGCTTGATCTTGAGAGGAACATGGGCGACAACAAAAAATAGTATGTTCATAATTTTAAAACTATGAAATACTCTAAAAAATTGTTATCTGTAAGCGAATGTTATCGATTAACACATTACAGGTCATCGCTTGTTCATCAACGTAGCGATGCTATTTTTAGATTTATCAAATGCTTCATTGAAATGTAGCCAATATTTCTTCTTTCCTCCAATGCGGAATGGCAAATAGTTTCTTTATATTGCTGTTTGTCTTTTAGTTGTGTATGCATGAAGTGGCATACTTTTGAAATTGTTCTGGAAATTTAGTTCGCTGTAGAATTTAAAAGCGTTAGATGACTAGGAAATAAACATAGTAGAGCATAGTAACATGTTTATTAGTTAAAATATATTATTTTAAATACTTAATTTTTGGGAACTGTTTATCTCTCTACTTTACATTGTTTAATACAGTTGCATAAATATGACATAATATATTAGTTCATATATAAATAAGTTAAATATAGTAGGACTATTTATATGTTATAGTTCATGTTTCAATCAAATATGTGCTGTTTAGCTCTTACCAGCGTATAAGTCCATAGGTAATGTAATTTAAAAATAAAACAATTCAAATAAACTTGTCATTTAACTCTTGCAAAGTGTGTATTAACATATAGTTGGTCAAATAAAAAACCCAATCCAAATTGAATTCAAAGAAAAAAAAAACTTTGCTCAAAATCTAAAAAGTAACTCTCAATCTAAAACGGTACCTAAAGTTTCTAAATCTAATCATAAATATGAAAATAAAGTTAACCTTTGTCTAAAGCTTAATCTAAATCTAAATTTAAACCTGAATGTATACCTAAACGTAAACCTGAACGTTAATCTAAACGTCAATGTCAACCCAGAAGTAAACGTAAGACAAACACTAACAGTAGAACTAAAACTAAATCTAAACCTATACCTTAACCTTAGTTTCAATCATGACCATAATATAAACTTCAGTTTTTACCATATTGTTATTCTCACATTCAACTTCAACACAAACTCGAACTTGACATTAATTAATATTAGCGTACATCACTACTTACATATCGCCAAGCTGGACGCTGGTTTGCTTACATGACCACATCTTGTTAAACTGTTTCCTAAATTTACGAGCACTCAGAAAGTAAAGGTAAAAGTTCAACGCATGCGTGGAGTCTACAAGAATGTACGAGATCTCCTTGAACAGGTACTTAAATGCAAAGCCTTTAGTGTTTATAGTTTCATACCAATACGACTCTGCAACTGTTAAGGCGCAAGCTGGGAATATTAGAATAGCGAAGGCCAAATTTGATGGAAACAACATGAGCATGGTCTGTCTGAGAGTTGACACGTCTGTGCTGCTGGAACTGTTCGTTAGGAGGTAGCGCTGCTTAAAAGCCTTGCGGATGACACACAGTATAAGCACGTTAATGAGTACAATAAGGATGAATGGAATGAAGGCTAGCAGAAGGATATTTACCCATTTTAAATAGATGACCAGGTGAATTGGTTCTTTGTTAATGTAGCAGCCGATGTTGTTGATCTGAAAATCGTACATCCAGAGTATCGGGGTGTACATGACCATAAGAGACACACATACAATCAAATTCCATATGATTGACTTCTTGTAACTGAGATACTTTTGTATTTTTAATGGAAATCTGACAGCTACAAGACGCTCTACTGCCATCAGGACTAGTATCCAGTTGGCGTAAGAGGTAAAAAATGTAACTAGAAAAAGCATGATGCGGCAACCACTTGTTGTCAAATTAACCTGGTTGCTTAAAAGTTGATAGATGGTGAGTTTCAGTACCAGTGCCACACTGTCTGCGATTGCTAGCAGATTAACGTACAGAGAAAACGATCCTAAACTCGACATGCGTGATATGGTAAATATTGTGGAAATGTTTCCTGGTAAGCCGATGACCATAATAATCCAGAGATAATACTTGTTTATAATGTATACAAAGGTCAAGATGTTGTTATAAGTATCATCATTGGTGTAGTATTTGTCTGTTAAGTCGTTCGTCTGGTTACGGTTGAAGGTAAAATTCATTTTATCTAGTGAATTGACAATCTAGGCGCGAGATTCAGAATTATATATGCTCGTTGACTTTGTTCTTACCAACTTCTATCATTCTTGGTGGCAATGTTGAGATTGAAGATCTTTCCGTCTAAAAATTAAAACATAACAAAAAAAATGTAATTAATTTTCACATAAGATCAGTTCTTCTGGCAATTTTGGACCTATATTTAATATCTGCAATAAATGAAACATTTCAATATTTCAATGATATTTAATTGAATCACTATTTATAATACATTATCATAACTGTAAAAAATATATTTCGAAATATATTAGAAGAAAATTTTCCTTATATTCTAAAGCAAGTATAAAATTAAAAGAGTAAATTGTATTTTTTAAAAATGCTTCAACGTAATGTGCATTACGTTAGCAAGTATGAAAATTAGAACAAAAAACATAAAATTCTAAGTATTTTTCTTTTTGTATTTTGTTCTAGTTAGGGACCCTCAAATGATTTATGTCCTAAAGATTTTCAGTGTGATTTAGCTGGTCCCAGTGGTTAACAAAACCAGGTCAATCATTAATGTATGAGGGCCATAAGAGATCTTACATGTAACGGCGTGAACGTGCCCATTGGCCTCTAAAGCAAATCTTATTTTATTGATTTAAGGGATTGAGTATTAAGTGTCAACTTGGTATGCGCCATATAGGTAGATGACTCCGATTTCAGCCTGATTTTCTTATTGTATTTGCTTCCACAGCCTTTGTCCAACATAAAACAAACCACATGGCAGCAGTTGTTTCATTTTGGAGCTGTCTTTCCTATCCCCAGCTAGCGAGCATCATCCACCTGAGGGTTCGAACTCGGAACTTTTAGGATTAGCAATTATGAGATTTATCGACTAATATCGAATAATATTGTTAACGGAAGAGCAAACAGCATTACACATTCAACAATCTAATTTTTAAACAAACTCAATAGACATTAAAAAAAACGTCAGTAATTTCCTCCAATGTATAATAAAAAGTAAGTTTCTCCTTCCAAACCTGACAGTCTATGGGACAACGTGAAGTAGAGTTCATCTGTTTTTGGGCCCAGCAGCCTTTGCTTTTCCTAACGTGAGTTTGTACACATCCCAGATGTGTGGACTCAGAGACGGTCTACTGAAATGAACCCGGTTTCGAACTCGAGACTTACGGGTTAGTAGTTTATCTCTTTAACGCTATACCACTACGTCCCCTAATTATTATAACTAAAATTGTATAGTCTAAAATGTAAGTAAGGATACTTCTCATTTTTTTTCATCTTTTTTTTCCAAAAAATACTTTAGGTCTTATTACGCTTTGATAATTTTGATAAAGATATTGAATAAAAAATTAATTATTTCCAAAATTTAAAAAGCAATTATAAACACAATAGTCGTGGGATTGAGCCCAGGTATTTAATTATTCTGACTTAGGCTATTATTGTTCTGTTCATCATCAAGAAACTAACATTGAAGTCACATTAAATGACAAATATTACGTAAGCTCCCCATGACACTTTACTAGACAACACATCATTATTTTATGAACTAAACTTTTCGTAAACTGTTGGAGTCTTCACAAAACAACTAAAACATACCGACCGTAAAGACTATACTGCTCAAAATACGCATAAACTGATGAAAAAGAGCTGATTTAAGCACTAATGGTGTTCAGAAAAAAAAACTCCTCTTCACTTACCATCCGTCATACATAAAAAAGACCTAACTGTATGTCGTATTTCATGAAAATTATTTTCAAATTCACATAATGAAAAATGTATTTTCAATGCACAGCAAAAGTAAAGAATGTTATCATCGCTACTGAGTTAAGAATGATCAATTTACGCAACTCAACCCCACCAATACTCACCTCAACAAGCAGCATCAAAACCATATTCCACCGATTACCCAACCAAGCCATGAAACATTATGCACAGCAGCAAAACACACAAAAATCGTTCAAAAAAACAACATCAAAACTTAAAAAGCATTTCAAACAATCACTGAGACTTTCAACTCACAACATCAGGCCGTTTCAAATGCAAAAACAACATAACCACAGATAACCATGGATGCAAAAAGTTGCAACAATCAACAACAGAGGCGATTGCCCAACTAAAGAAAAACAAAACGCAAATCTCCATTGCAACAATAGTTTCTATTCTAAATATTGAAAAGTTTCAAATAAATTACTTGAAAAAGATGACACAATCAGAAAGCTTTTTTTTTTTATTATATACTCACATTATCGTTACCATTGATGTTGCCGTTACAGTTACATTGAATTTTACAGTTACCGTTACCGCTACAACTATCGCTTTTTTTTGCTACAGATACCGTTATAGCTACCGTTATAGCTACCGTTATAGCTGCCGTTACCCTTAACTTAATTGTTGCGTTACTGATACAAGAAACGATGGGTAACTATCAGGTGGTAATGTCCTTGAGCCTTTTTATTGTGTCGGGCTAATGTCCTGAAATGTGGGGTAATATCCAAAATTCTAGAGCTTCTAACTGAGCACTTGGTAACCGTTAATTAGGCGTCCTGCTTAGCGGGTAGGGGGTACTACTAAGTTCAGCGTTTAAACTGCAACAGCTGCAGGACTTGCTACTGTGTGACCCGATAGGCTTCGATTCCACTGTGAGCAATTTCGTGCCTACGTTAATTTTAAACAAAAAGCTACACACAGAAGACACGATCGGCAACTAAAAAAAAAATTGTTGCTATTTCATCTGATACACACGTTTAATAATTTTCTTTAGTTCATTAGCGCACGTCCTGTTGTTCACACAGTTGTTTTTTTTACTCATATTCATTCCTAAAATAAAGCTACCTAAATACATGGGGCAAACTGAACTCACATCCGCACATAACCTTCTTCTGGACTATTCCAACTAAACCTTCAGATAACCTTAAAACAATATTTTATGCTAAATACGTGTAGCTTTAGAGCAGGGGTCTCCAAACTTTTCAGTCAGAGGGCTGAATTTCAGTTCGGGGGTTAGTTTTTTCCAGGCATATCTTTGATTTTTCTGGGCAAATTTCTTCAGCCATCACCAACACATGTTTTTTTCGTGGACAATAAGATCTCAGCGGGCCGGATGAGAGGACATCGCGGGCCGCATGCGGCCCGCGGGCCGTAGTTTGGAGACCCGTGCTTTAGAGTGATGAGTTGGATAATAGTCATATGAAGTTTCGCAGGAAGTAGGAAGGAAAATTATATTATTAGCAATATTTGTTCAAGCCGTAATGAAATCAGATCAGGGTATTTTTTTTGCCAGCAAAGACTGCTACAAAACTAAAGGAATATAATATTTAATGTTTCTTAATGTTTTTTATGTTACATAATTTGCTAACTTTTTTAAAAAATTACCAAATAAATTATATAATTAATACAATAATTCCACATGTATTAAACTTTGTTGATTACGTGATTTTCTTTTATGCTCTGTGGTAGCAACTAGCGTAGAGTACGTTAAGTCGATTTGCAAGTAAAGGTGAACGGATTAAAATTGGAACTGTGTAGCCTTTGTCTAGTTAAAAGAAAGTAGGTCGCAACACTATAGATAATTTACTGCACGTATGATATTGTCAAAATCATTAAATAGTATATAATATAGAAATATTATTTTATGGAAAGGCGTATGCTTTTTTTTTGGAAACTATATAAGCTAAACGATTTTCTTGTTGATAAATAGCCCTGATGAGTGTAGTAAGAGTAATATTTTTGGCTTACGCCAATAGCATTATAAGTGCTATTAGGATAATTAAAGAGCATAAACTAAGGACATTTAAACATCTTATAATCACGATGTAATCGACCTGAGTTCATTCATCATCATGAATTCTTAAAGCAGTTGCTTAAAAGCTAATGCAATTTTTATGACAGTACATTTGGGTGTTTATGTTATGTGATCAATTGTTAAATACTTTTTGTTGTTTCAAAGCTAAAATTAAAATAAAAGTAGTTATATTTTTCTACATCTACATTTAAAGTTTCCCATACTTATTCTTGCTCTTCTACGTTCTAATATTGTATTGTTGGAAGAGCTTTCCCCAACAAAATCCTATTATATAAATGTCCATATGCGCACTTCTCTCTCTCTCTCTCTCTCTCTCTCTCTCTCTCTCTCTCTCTCTCTCTCTCTCTCTCTCTCTCTCTCTCTCTCTCTCTCTCTCTCTTAAAGATACGGAATACTTTTGAAAACGATGTGTTGAAAGTTTTAAATGTATTAACTAAGTTTGAGAAATAAAAATAAAAATAAAAATCAAGCAATATTCGATTGTAGAAACATATTTTTACTTATTCACCCGGAAAGGTTTTTGTGGTTGTGACAAGAACGAAATAAACAATGTCGTCGAATTCCACATGTTTGGTACCCCGTCCCCGGCAACTGGGTGGATCATACCGGTTCACTTTTATAGTGGAAAAGACCATTTCTAAAAGACCATTTCTTCTGATTCCCGGCAACTGGGTGGATTACATCCAAAGACTTTCTTATTGTAAATTGTTTCTTTGTTCATGGTGGGGTGGGTAAAAATACTGACACAGTTAAGGTATTCAGGGCATTTTGGCCATTAGGAACCCAAGACATGTTCTTGTCAACGGAAGAGCTGTAATATGATACTACAGGTTAATGGGATTCTCAAGCAAAAGTTAACCTGTGGGTGGACACATGTAGTGATTTATATTCTTTGCTGGAGCTCTGACATGCAGTTACAGAAAGAACTGTAGTTTAGAGTTACAAATAGGTTAATGAAATGCAGGGGTAAGATTGCCTGTGGGAGGACATATATGGTGATTTGCACTATTTTTGGGAGCTCTGGGATGTACATAGAGACAGTCGAGCATTTTAGAGCAAATGGACATTAACCTCATTAGGAGTGTGAATTAGGACAAAAAGGCAAAAAAACTTAGTAATGCTACTTGAAAGTTGATACTGAGCAATGAATTGATCAAACTGGGAGTGGGGTGGGTATCCTACAGGTTGTGAGCCTGAGAG